ATATCAACAAGTGATTTTACGACGAACAGATAAAAGTAAAGTATTTCATTTAGGTGATGCAAATGATTATCAAAGACAAGTGCTTGAATATATGCAAGAAACAGAAGCATATGAAGAAATTACATCGGGTGTTTCACCATTATCAGCCAATTTGCAACAAGTTACTGTAGTACTTAATCAATTGTACCATGTTGAAAAACCCTTAATAACTAAAAAGCAATATGAAGCAATGTATCCGAAAGAAAATGAAACTGAATTAGCTCATCTCTATTTTATACCAAAACCACATAAAATATAAATATTTTTTTACACATATGTAAACTTCTACTACAATACGTTTCTTCTAGATTGGTACACCATTACGACCGATCGTATCTGGAATTCATGCACCAGCTATATTAATATCCAAATATCTTGATGATTCACGTCGTCCTGTTTTTAATCGTGTTGCACGAAAAACAATCTATATCAATACTTTAGATCTTGTGAAACAATTAGAAAACCATGAAAGACAAGGTCATCTATTGTCAACTACAAAATTTATTACAGCTGATGTAAAAAAATCTTTATACAATGATACCCAAAGGTGGTGCATTAGATGCTTTATATCGATTTTGTGTTAAACATGGCAAAAATGGCAAAATTGGCAATTTATCTGTCAATACCATTATTCGATTGGCATGTCTTGTATTAGATACGAATTGTTTTGTATTTGACAATAAATATTACAAACAAATTCGTGGTGACGCGATGGGCTCACAATTTACAATGACATTAGCTAATATCTATATGTATGAATGGGAACAATCCTTAATTCAACATCAACAAATAAGAAATGAACTCTACGGTAGGTAATTTGTTTTCTTTTCAAAAAAAAGACAATATGCGATGTATCAATATTTTTTCATTGTAGGTATATTGATGACATAAAGGGTGTTCCATAAGTTTCGGCCCCCTTTTTGTTTTTATTCTAACTTTATCATATTCTAACGTAGACTGCTCTTGAAGATAGCCTTCTGAAGAGCAACATCTAAGCTTTCAAGGGAAAAAAATTTATTTCATTAGCATGAATTGCACGAGAGAACCGCATCGATCAAAATTTTGAAAAATTTTCTTTACATGCAGTTTTTGCAAGGGGGAAAAAGCGGATCCTGGATCCATCAAGATTTACGCTTCCTCGATCGGTTTGATATTATTGTAATACATGATGATTTCTATTGCATTCTAGTTATCTCTGATAAATTGTAATGGATTGTGTTGAATTATAGCCAATGGCGGTAATCTGTGACCGCTTTTGGTACACTTCTAGAAATATATTCTAAAATTTCTTAGGACTCTAGAATCCGCTTTTCTCCGTCAAACTAAGGATGTCAGAACTTAGAGCAACCCTCTACTTTAGTGTTAATCCTGTTTTTCCTTGAGAAAGTGTGAAAGAACATTGTGGGCTCCTGAATCTGAAGATTCATGTCATATTTTATTCAGGATTCCGTTTCCAATTTTTATAATACTGGTTTGCAGGATATTTCATTGTGAAAAAAATATTCTTCTCAGGATCTTTTCAAGTTCCTACTCAGATTTCTTTATTATTTTAACATGATGGACCGTACTAGGATTCACTATTGATCTTACTCAAAACCTTGATAGGGATTACAGAAAGAATATCGCTTAGATTCTATTATAGTTTTAACAGAATTCGTTTGGGATCTCTGCGTCATGATCCTCTCCTGGCTTACAGTTAAATAAGGCAAAGATCCTACAAGGAATTAATAGAAGAGCAATGGAAATCCTCAGGTAGTGGATTCTTCTAAGATTCAATCACGATTCTATCTAATTTTCTTAAGCATTCTTCTTACGAATATCTTTTCTGAACATTTCCAGGGTTGTCTTAGGGTCTCTTCAAGGACAAGCATTTCGGATCCTTCCTAGAGAAGGTCAAGGATGGCCAGGATCTTTCTGAAAGCATATCAAGGTTAGACAAAGATCTTTACCATTTTCATTTAGAGTCTACTAAAGCTTGATCTTGAGGATTGTAACAAGATCTATGGCTGATCTGGTTCAGGATTTTGAATAAAATTATGAAATGTTTCCACCAAAATCCTTAACAGTTCCTAATTTAAAATTCTTCGAATATTTTTGAATCTTTGAATCTCAAAAACTCAAATTGTGCTTGTTAAATAAACTTTTAACAGTAACTATACTAAAATGACAATGAAGAATTTGCAATGTGTTTTGTTCCGGTTCTGACAGGAATGTAGAAGATCAAGAAGGTACCTGAATTTCATTCTAATATTCCTTTGTTTCTGTGTGTCAGTGAATGGAAGAATTCTGACAGAATTTTTGAAGATTTCTCGTCAAAGATTTTTAATATTTATCTTCAATATTGCATGACATTTACAGCATGGAACTCAGTTATTTTTTGAATTTTATTTTCATATAAAACTTGCAAACTCATTAAAATGGAGATTTTAATATCAGTTTAACTATTGCACTAACTTTTTCTTAAAAAAGCTTTTAGTAAGGAACGAGTACTTCAATAAAACTTGTACTGCATTTTATTTATTCGTGCTAATCAGAAAAATACCTTTTTATTCAAATTGAAATCAACCAGTCATAGTAGAATTTTATGATAAGTAATCAATAGATTAAGTTTATATTGAATTTTTGTTCAAATAACTTATGTTTGCATAAAGTTCAAATACAAGTTAATAGTTCAGAGGGAATTCGAGATACAGAAGGTTTGAGTTAAATTAAATAGTATGGTACAGTCTACTGCGGTGAACTAATCAGTTTTTTAACTGAACATATAGAAATCAATAATGTGCGTTCATTTCTCTTTTTTGCTTAGAGAATCCTGCAAAAATTTTGACAATACATCGGATATCATCCTTACAGAATCGAAGTGGAGTTCTGCGAGGTGTAATCAGAAAATATTTTCCAATTAGAAGCCATTGAAATTCTGAGAAGAGCTTGACATAAAGTCAATACAAAATGACTCAGAATTTCTCTAAGATTTTGTTCTAATCATAACAGAATCGTGTTTATTTCGTGCCTACACGTTTTTCTGAAGATTTGACCCTCTACTAACATATTTCTTGTTTTAATTGCATTGGTAAACTGCTCAGGATACTGATAGAATCCTGTTGTGAGCCTTGTCGAGGTCTTGAAATTCCGTGGCTACACGGCTTTCTCAAGATTTAGCAGCTTCTTCGACAATATATGATTGGAAAATAGCAATAAACTGTTACGATCTTGATTGAATCTCAATTAAAATTCTGTCGGCATCTTAAAATTTTATGGGTACACACTTTTTTCCGTTTTTCGCATTTTTCCCGGAAAAAATGGCGAACCTGTGCAGCGCCGTTGCTGCCTATGTCAGAAATCTAGCTCAAAAAGACTTGAGCTTTTCTCTAGCAAAAATTCAACACTATCTAGTACAATCTTTTGAAATCCAGAAGAATTCAGCAGAAATTAACAAGCATCATAATAATCTGAAACCAATCAGGAACACCTAAATCTTGATGGATCTTATTCTATCGTATAACCCGCAGAACTCATTCAGATACTCAAAAGTTCATCGGGGCCCACCAGGCTCTCAATCTCCGAGATTTCTTTTTTCTTTGTTTTCAAAAATTCTAGGGCCAATTCTTCGTCTGTTTACTTTGTTTCCATGTATTCTAATGGCTTCGGATGGAGTCCAATAGATCGTAGGATGTCTCAAGGTCCTTTTTTCCTTTGTAAAGTAGACTAGTCATAGTTGTATAAATAGCACATGGTGCTCCCATTGATTCATCCAGAACATATTTTGAATTATGCATCCTTATTTTATGAATCTGGTTGATTTCCTTGCTTTTGTGGCTATTCAGAACATTAATCTATCTTCATAAATGATAACGAGTTCTAATGGATTCTGGTGGATCCTAATGGATCCTGATGGATCCTAGTGGATCCTGATGGATCCTAGTGGATCCTGATGGATCCTAGTGGATCCTGATGGATCCTAGTGGATCCTGATGGATCCTAGCGGATCCTGATGGATCCTAGTGGATCCTAGTGGATCCTGATGGATCCTAGCGGATCCTGATGGATCCTAGTGGATCCTAGTGGATCCTGATGGATCCTATGGATTCTGGTGGATCCCAGGATCCACCAGGATCCGCTTTTCCCCCTTGAGTTTTTGCCTTTTGCATTCTCTTTTGATTTCTAATCTGATCTAATCTAACAATTCGATAGAGAAAATTGTTCTTTTTCGATCTGCTCAAGGCCGAGCTCTCTAGCGCATTCCGTTGAGGAGTTATACGCATTTTCCTGAGAGCTCCGAAATCGGCCAAATGACCTCCAATCACCCTTAAAATGGGTCAAGATAGGGGTAATCAGCCG